AACTAAGGTATTATGCTTAGTTTACCTGACATTTGTTTCTGAATTTATTGCGTGTGATGTTCCATATGTAACCTCTTGTGAGAGGACCGTGGAATTGTAGCTGGATGGTTGACAGTCATGTCCATTGTACATGATGTGGACATTAGAGCTGTGCAATGGTATTAAAACTGGTGCCATTATGCATGGCAAATATATTAATATACATACTTTTTTGTTCAGAATGTAACAGGTATTTTCATGTTCTGGAGTGTAGCTGGAACAGGAATGATGACAACCTAAATTATGTGTCTCTGTGTTTTGTTAAAGCAGTCAATGATGTAGTGATTGATGGAGAAGTTTACTTGCTTGCTTGGTTGTTTCTTGTATCAGTGGCATTTTCTGTTCTTCACTGTGTACAATATATTGTCATTATTTTTACTCCAAGGTAAATGCTCTGCCTCTCTTTATTTTAAAGTGTAATTTAAATCTGCAAAGTGGACTGTGTCTCTTGACCTTATATTTAATGTGCATGGAATCTTCTTTGAAGAAGAACTTCTGAACATAACTGCATTTATAAGGAGCAGTTGAAGTGTGTTTGGCTGCTCCTGTTATTTTATAACTAAATTCTTTGCTTCTGAAGAGCTGTCCATTTGATTATTTTGAGACATTTTACACCCCATAGTCTGTTTCTATAAGGTTCATTTCAGTATTGTCCTCCCAGCTATGTTTCACATCCTCCATGTAGTCTGTTTTCCAAGTCAAAATTTGAAATGCAGTTCTTTCCCTTCAGTGTGCTTTATGTGTTCCACCCACCTCAACGTCTTTGGTTTAACTACTTTCACAACACAGTGTTGAAGCATGTAAATTAAGTTCTCCCCTATCTAATTTTCACAGTTTTCAGTGAAAAAGTTCTCCCCTATCTAATTTTCACAGTTGCTTTGTTACTTTTATTCAGTGAAAATTTCCCGTAGACTTTTGTTTTTAATCACAATTGTATTTTTGCTATGACATGTTCTACATCCTTGGCTTGGGCCTATGAAGGATCTATGGAGTGTGAATAATTTCTGTTCTATTGAAGTGAATGGGGCTAGGATGTGGATGGTTTATAGAGAAAGAGTGGAAGTATAAGACAGGAAAATATGAAAAGATTTGCCAGCCACAGAAGGCAAGGAGGGCATAGTGTCCTGCCCAGGTCAGTAGAATGAGGAATAGTAAAGGCCCTTAAGAGGGCTAATAAAAAGGAATGTCATCATCACCAAAGGAAGGATCCTTTCAGAACCAGTGCAGAAGATGGCCAAGGCAGTAGAAAGTAATATATCTTGTCCACAGAGAAATTTTCTTTCATTCTGTTTCAAGGCTAATGGAATTAATTACTCCTCCTTTTCCATGGTCAGCTAATGTCACACCTTCCTGTTGGCACATGCCTGCCACAGTAGGCATTCAGGGACATTTGTTCCATATTCTAGGTATTTTATTTTGTACTGTTTATCTACCTGATTTTCCACTTGTTAAAATTTTCACATTTCTTCCATTTCTCATTTTGTCCCTCAATATAATTCCTGATAATGGCCATATTAACCTCATGTGAGATATTTCTGTTCTGAATCCAGTCTTCATAGAATTTGTTTTGTGGATTATTCTTGTGAATGAGATGACTGGTTTGATGATATTCTGAAATTATTTCTTTTTTGTGTGTTGAATCATTGTCTTCAGTTTTACTGTATTTGAGGCATGCTTTGAGTTTACAAAAGGGAATATAAAATTTTGAAACTTTTTTTGAGTTTCTTGCATGTTGGTAGAACCAGAAATCACAGACATGAGATGAACTCTTATGGTACTGCTGACATACAGAACAATTACGAAAGCATTCAGAAAGCGACATGTGCTGTTTTGAAATAAGCTCGTTTATGCATAGCCAATGCAGGAGGTTATTTCAAAGAATAGGCCCCTTAAGCATGTGTGTTTTGTTATAATGTCTATAAACATGAATAGAATACCATTTCTATGCAACTGATTCATATCTTGAAACAAAATAATTTTATTTAATCTGCATGTTAGAGTTTTCTCCATTTCCATCTGTCGCAACTACATAAGTGCCTGACATGTTGATGTTTGGCATTCATGATATGTTAGTGAGTAATCACCCAATGAGAATGAAAACAGATCTGGTTTTCAATCTCAGGTGTAAGGGCTGTGGGGTACCATTAGAAAAACTCGATGATCAAGATTGCGATATACCATCGGCAGAACCCTTTACAATTGAAGATAATTGCTGTCTTTCATGTAGTGTATCTGTAGTACAGTTAGCTTTGCAGCAGTAAATGAACTGCAAGGCCATTGATGTATGCTTTATCTCAGAGAAAACATTTGGGTCATGTGTTCTCCGAATTGGAGTGCACCTTTCCACTCATCTTGTAATTTTGCTCAGTGAGGTTCCCTTTATTGGTTTTAAATTGTGACTAGAGTGGACAGTCGGTCACATCCAACATTAGGACTACAATTTGCTGACTCACGTGGCACTGATTTGCACATAATATAACTTCTCAAAGCCGTTCTTTATTGATAAGCCCACTTGTTCAGGAAGTGTAAAACTTGCACTGACATGCAGTGAATAATGCAACCTGTGTTACATGGTCCTGTTTTACCACAAAGCTTGAAAGTACGTTGCTTTAAAACTGCACTTGTAGCATAAATTTATTTAGTTGTAACAAATGTCATACATTAACTTAATTTGACTCATCCTGTGTTATAATTTAATCTTAGAGGAAAGGGTTGAACTTAGAGAACAGTAAGAGATCCTCTGATAGTAATTTATGTATCCAGCTGTTGATGTTCTGAGTAAAAACTTGTGGAGAAACATGAGCTGTTTGACAGTGAGGGTACAATCAGTGAACAACTTGCACATTGAACATTGATAGTTTGCAAATGGACATTTCTCATGTGTTAGTTTAGTTTCTTAGAACTATATACTATTTAAAATAAATAATTTGAGTAAAACTGTTTATCCTTATTGCTTAATTATTAATCTTCATAATTGCTACTTTGAGAACCTCGCCTTTTTTTTTGTATTACATAAATAACATTCATGTTTAGTGCAGAGCCCTCAACAGGTTTGGTACAGTAATGAAATATTGTGAGTCGTGAACAAACCCTGCACTTTGGTGGTGGTTTTCACACGTGCTGTATTTTGGTGTGCTACTATATATTCACGTTTAGTTAGGAATGTAAGAGCAGGGTTGCTAATGGTGTGAGACAAAAGCTATAAATAGGCACTCTGGTATACACATATGGTGATGAAGGAAAAGAAGAGTGACTAGAACAAAAATACACACTGTCACCCTATTCTGTCTCTGTGAATTTAGATTTGGTGGGAGGGGGGGGGATTGCTGAGTAGGGTGAGTAATATATGACCTATGGGCTGTCTTACTCATTTTATGTCAAGTCTCTACAGAACACCATGAATATGTTGGCAATTGGGTTGTTATTCATGGCTGCTTCTAAGTGAGTGAAGAATATTTAATATATCTGTAAGACTATAAGAATTTGTGTTTGTGTTTTGACTTATGAAATATTCATACTGTCATCTGTGATTCACCCTATGAACTGTATGTCTGCCATGTTGTATTTTGTATGTAGGAGATATTTTTTGTTAGGGGGAGGGCTTTGGTTGTAGGATGCACGTCTATTTCTTGTGGTATGTAAACTTTTTTTGACTGCTTCACTTCTCTCAAGTGCAACTTAGTGTACTGGAACTGGTAACTGGAGCAGAACAGGTAATGAATTCTCTTCCACCCGCAGTTGTGGCACTCCATTTAGGCCACTTAGGGCATCGCCCCATGTGAAACACTAGCTGAAATGTCATAATTTAGAAAAATTTGTAAAATATACATGCATATGCATGTACACACACACACACACAGAGAGAGTAGTGTATAGGTGATATATGATGTTTTATTTTCAGAACTGGTTTCCAGTTGAACATTTCTGATGTCCCGAAATATGATAAAGAACATTGTTTTGGTTTCAGTGAGGAAGTGCCCTAATTGAGGTGGTAGTTTGTTGATGCAGGGAGTGGTAAGGGAAGGAGGGGATTGTGGGAGAGAAAACTTTCAAAGTAGGGCACTTTTTGCTAGGACTGTACCCCTCTTCATAGTAAGGTGTCAAAACAATGGGAAAAGATAACATTGAATTGGTGAAGTAAATAAACATTTAACATTTTTACATCCATTTTTGAAGTGTGTTGCTACTCTTCATCTTTCATACAGTTTGAGAAATGTTGACATTTTTGTGTTGGTAAACTGACTTAAAAATTCTTAATTGTAATGTTGACTTTGCTGATTCTGGAACACCTGATACCTACATTTTATAATGTTAAAAAGCACTAGAATTTTGCAGTTTTATTTTATGTCTTGTTGAAGAGGTGCCCTAACAGAAAAATAAGGCACAAGGTGTCTGCCAACCTGTAGACAGTAGGTTCTGCTGTTTTTGTACAAGTGGTTCAGATTGGTTTATGGATTTATTCTGAGTGGACATATAGTTATTTGTATTATTAATTTTTACAACAGTACATGTTATTTTTGGTTGAACATTAATGTACATTTGGCAGAAGCACTTTTTAATGTGTTTAAGGAACTGTTCATAACATTTACTTGATAATTATAGTTATCCCAACTCCACCAGTGTACAAACTGAAGTTTGTTTACTGGAAACTTATAATTATTTTCCCTTATCTGTGAAATATGCTTGTAGCTGTGTTATTTTCATAACTGATATTGTTTCTGTCATGAGCTCTTGCTAACAGATATTCTTGAATTTTTTTTAAACAGACTGATAGAAGTTTTTATTATGATATATTTATTGCAGTGATTTTCAAGTTCATTCGTTAGTCATTTTTTGAAACGCATATATCTGCCGATCTACAGGTATCTGAGTGACCATATTCATGTTGGTTAGAGGTCACTCACATGTCAACGTCATGTCATAGTCACGACAATATCAGCCCTGGGGTTTCCCGAATAGAAGCTTTTAAAATTCTCAAGGTCATTTGAAGTACAATTTTCAAACGCCTATATCTGTCGATCAGTAGGTATCTGAGTGAGATGATTCGTGTCAGTTTGAGGTCAGAGACAGGTCAGTGTCATGACAAGGTCACGACAATATCAGTCCGTGGGTTTTCCGAATGGAGGCCTTTGAAATTTTCACGGTTGTTCGGCAGCCATTTTTTCAAACGTATATATCTGCCGATCTGAAGGTATCAGAGTGACCATATTCATGTCGGTCAGAGGTCACTCACATGTCAGTGTCTTGTCATAGTGACGACGATATTAGACCGTGGGTTTTCCGAATAGAAGCTTTTAAAATTCTCAAGGTCAGTTTTTCAAACGCATATATCTGCCGATCTAATGAAGCCTGGGAGACCATATTCATGCCAGATTGAGGGCATGAATAGGTCATGAAGATCACGACGAGATTAGTCCAAGGGTTTGAGAAATATAGGCCCTTAAAATCAAATCAAGAACATATTTTCTGACGCTCATATCTACTTAACGCTACTGAAGTGCGTGACCATACTCATGTTAGTTTCAAGCCATTTATAGATTAAATTCATTCCAAAGTCATTGGAATAACATTCAAAAAGATGATGCCACTTTACCAGTGTTAGATTCGCCTAGGTTGGGTTGGGTTAGGTTAGATTAGGTTTATGGTGAGATGTTTTAGGTTATGTTTGGGACTTTTCCATTGCGTTGTATTTATATTTACATCGTTTTAACGTTTGAAATTATGGGATAGTTATCTTTAGGTGTCGTATCTCTCAATGTCATTAAAGTTCAAGGTCATTAGAAAACGAATCTTTCCCACACTTAATTCTGAAGAAACATGCGTATATCTTGGTGAACATATTCACGTATCGTTGAGGTCGCGTACAAATGAAGGTCATGTCACAGACACGACCAGGGCTGTGGAGTCGGAAGCAATTTTAGGTGTAGTCGGAGTCGATAAAACTGTACCGACTCCGGCTCCGACCTCGATATAAAATCTTAAGAACAATTTCTATACCGTGTGAGCCTCCGGCGGCCTTACGCTTAGGGAGAGTCAAAAGGTGTGGGAATAATGCTTTTTACCTTTGACTTCGGTACCGTAAGAATACAAACTGTCTACAACTCAAATTAGTCGTATATTTAAATATAGGTTATAAGTCTGAAAAGTAGGCTGATGATTCACGTGGTTGTAATGAAATCTCTTATGGTGTCATTTACCATTTTAGTGGGTTTACCCTTATTAATACATATTGAGCTTTTATGAAGGATATAGGGATTAGCTCTATCTGTTGGGCCCAACAGAGTAGGTACCTGAAGACGGAGATAGATACCAATCTCCGAAGCATCCTTTTTCTATTTAATTGTTTTACTAGACAATGGAAAATATCCAAGGAATTTTTTATTCAAATAACTCACCATCGTCACGAACTTCTAGATTTTATGAAGGAGTTAAAGCCGGAGTCGGAGATTTTAGTACCGACTCCTCAGCCCTGGTTGTAGGTAACAGGTGTTTTATATTTGATTTTGAGGTGTAATATTTAAGTCTGAGCAAATGGATCAGTATTTTTATTCATTTGTAGATATTTTTATGTGGTTATGCATATGCAGGGATTTCATTGGGAGAGTGTGTGAAAAGCTGTTGTGATAAATGTCTTGTTTTTCATCACAAGTTGAATATGTTATTGTTACTTGTAAGTAAGCTAGCCTATAGTCAAAGCTCATTTTAAATGTTCACTTCCCTGTATATTCATAAGATTATTTATGAGGACCGCAATACAATGATAATAGTTTATTTTATAATAGATAGGCTGTGCAAATGGAAATGATGTTTTGTGAACTAACATAATCTTGATTTCTTGCAAAGAGATATGCTGCTTAAGCATAAATTAATGCTAGTATTTGTTGAAGCTATTTCTCTCTTGTGTAATAGAATTTCATGGTTACGTTATAATTTTGTAGTTCAGCGTTTTTCGTTTACTCCATGTGTTTTTTGACATGTTGGTGTGACAAGTCACGATTCTCATAATTAATTTAAGAAGTTTCAGTTTATGAATTTGAAGTTAATGTTAAAGGTAGGTTATATAGAAGGTCTATGTTTCTGCAGTTTAAATTGTGAAGTTTTCATAATTAACTTTTACTTCTTTGGTTTGGAGTGACCTTCTTGCCAAAGGCCCAATACTTTCAGCAATGGATGATGGTGATCAAATGTTGTAGATACATCCCTCAGTCCTTGTCAGATGGTATCCTATCACTTAAGGTATTGAAAATTGCGTCCGTTGGCATTTGTGCACAACTTGATGTGATGGTATTTAGCCTGCAAGGTCTCCAGATTTATTGAGCTAGATATGTACCTTCATTTGATGATGGTGCATAGGTAGTGACTGGGGACCTTCAGTAATAGGATCACCTTGCACATCTGAAAAATGATTTGCCATCTGGTTGAATCAGTGAGTGATATTTTCAGTCACCATTGGTGCTGGTGCCACTTGGAAGTAATCTGTGAAACTCGGAAATGTTCCAAGAAGGGTATATTGCCTGGGGTGAAGCAGTCTATGTAGTGCCCCTTCTTAAAGTGTCTTAGTACTTAAAGAAATAAATCAGTTAAAAAGGAAAGAAAAAAACTAGCAACTTGTAAGTTTAATATTGCTGGGACCAGGCTATAGACTATACTTTAATATGCTCAATGTTATATTTTTACTTCTCGAATGCTTAAGGTGCCACTGTGCATGAAGTATTTCATGCATCATAACATTGATGAGCAGGGCTTTCCAAAGCGTAAGGCCTGCGATAGATGCCCCGCTCACCCTGCCCTAAGGACAAACCTACTGCAACTGTACATATAGTATCTGACATGGCTGTATTTTTTTAAGAATGTTTTCATCATTCTCTCTGTTGTGCTTTCCAAATTTAGTGTTCTTGTTACTTTTCTAGAAGGTTGTGTGTTTGGTTATATCAAATTACTGTGCGGTATTTGGTTTATGTGATTGATTGAAAATTGTGATCAAGATTAAATAATGGGAAATGGATCAGTTAACAAGGAAATATGCCATTTGACATGTAATTGCTTATTAGTTGTCAGCTTTCTTCTGTGGTAAGTAAAAATGGAGAATTTATCTTCATTGATTAGGTTAAAGTTTGAATTTCACAGGAGTGGGCATTTCCTTTTATTCTCATTGTCATTAAATGTGCTCATAAATAGTCAGACATTTGGTGAAATGGAACTTACCTGGTTTACTGGTTATGATACAAAGATGTGTTAGAATTCACTATGTATTGTGCATGGAAGCATATGTATATACTACTGCACATGTTAAAGGCATGATCTAGACAAAGATATTGCTTTAATGGCTGAAGAAGGCACCGTATAGTGATTGTATGCATGAGGTACATGCATGTTTATTATGCATTATGTTCATCTTGCCAAGTTGAAAGCGTGTGTGAGATGGAGCTGGTGTTTGCAGCAGCTATCGTCAGGTGAGCAGTGGCACTGCTGCCGCTAAGGTGAAGGCTAAAGTGGCGGCTACATCGCGGCCTCACACACTGCGCATCCAGCTGTCTGGCCATCATCATCATCATCATAATTCCAGCATGGCCTCTGACGAATCCATTGGCAGCTGCTCACTTGATGTTGATGTCACAGCTAGTGATGCTTCAGGTACTTTCCGAAGGCAGCGCGGTATGGTGGTTGTACCATATTTTACAAGAACTCATAAATTGTTTACATTTTCCGATACAAGTTAAAAGAGTTTGTATGGATTTTTATGTGTCATACCAGAATTTTTAGAGAATAATAAAATGAGAATGTTCTTAAATTATAAAAAAAAATGTAAGTATTATGTCTTCAAAAATACTGGAGATAAACTGAAAATTTGTTAATTTTTTGTATCAGGTATTTTTAGAATAAATAGATTCCATTCTGTTTCAGTTAGTGATGAAGTGTAGAATGTAATAATTTAGTATTACTTGTATTATAAGCGAGGGTTTTAAAAAACGTTGAAGGAACAGTATTTTGCTTGATAATTAAGAAGACAACACTCCTTGGACAAAATGTTGCATTGTGAGTTTAGATGTGGAGAAGAACATTTACGTCTAAGGTATGATTGTTACAGAAAAAGAAAATTCATTACATACCGTAACTCTTAATCCATCCTCTTCTATCATTCCTTCCTGTATTTTTATTACGTAGCTGGTTGTTTTCTTTTAGGTTATGAATTGGCATTTGTGATCTTTCCATATGTGGTAGTTCATGAAAGAAATATGTAAAGTTCTCTTTAAAACTCTGAACAGCATTTGCAAGTTAAAGAAGTGGGTTAAAGCTTTAGGAGCTTGTTACGTTCATTGCAGTGTCTGGAATCATTACTGCATTTTCGGCATTCATGCTTTATTGTTTACAGCTGTTTTTCGTTTGGTGTGCTCTGGCTGTAGACATCATTGCTGATAAAGCTAATAATAGTTATAGGGCTGTAATATGCTTAATTTAAGCTCAGTTCATTAATAATTTTTATGGTGGTGTTGCTATTGCAGTTCACAAGGTACTGTCGAGTAATTTTTGCTTTGCGCTTGCCTCTCGTGGGTTATGTAGTTCATACTACAGAGGCAGCTTTTTTTGTTGTGTTTTTGGGAAAATGGTTATAACATAATTTTATTGGGTATTATTGTTGACCTGCTATCACTACAAGTTTTCTTTTCTTGCAAACAGCAGAAGGAAACAGTGGAGTTGTGAAACTGTTACTTTTGTGTTTAACATTAAAATAAGTATTATACAGAATGACTAAGAAGTCACTGTACACCTACTTAACTTACCATGCAGTGAATGTCACTGCACTTCAAGTGTATCTGTATGTGCACCTTCATGTTCGAAATGACCAGATTCTATGACATGCGCTGAAGCATTTGTGTCTTCGTGGTGGTGAAAACCTGTTCCGCAGCTTTTCGCATCTCAATAGTGGCGTGCAATCACTTTTCCCATGATAATTAGTAAGGGTATGGTGACTTCTTGGACAACCTGTATATAGTGCTTTGGATTTAAATGCCTGGGAGACTGTGGGTTACTTTCTCTGACATTAAACAGTAATTTTAATCTTGAAGCAGGAATAATTTAGGAATAGCAACTGATCTTTCAAGATTTGTATGTATATCAAGGAACTTCATTTGTACATAAAGTGCAATACCTGAAAGTCTAAACTATGTAAATGTATTTACTTTTCAGACTGTGTGGATTTGAGTACAGTGTCTGCCTGTACACTAAGAAGTTTACAGTTGTCAACAAAAACTCCTGATCCTGATTGTATAGCTACCATATCTCCTGGAGGGGCTTCAACACCTGAGTATGTTAAGCGGACTGCTCGTCTCTTTGAATCCTCTGGTAGCGCAGACTTAGGAAGTCAGTCACCAAAAAGTTCGGTACTTCAAAACAATGGAAGACATGCCGGCTTGAGTAAAACTAACGATGTTCCCAGTGTGGTGGTAGTCAATGGGGCCAATTCAGTGAAGACTGGAGAAAATTTATTAAATGGTGGTGGTTTTACAGGAAAGAAACCTTCCTATTTAGGTTTGGCTTGCTCAGTAAGTGGCTATAGTGGCATTACAACATATGATAGTAAGCTGCGCGAAGGATTTCGTTCACGAGATCATAGCCCAGGACGTCTGGGCATCATAAAAAGTCGAGATGCGAGTCCCTTGCGACAAGGAGCTGATCAGTTTGAAAAACATTTTACCCCAACTTACAGATCAGACTGTGGGAATTTTCTGGTTGCACCACCTGCAAAAGTAGGTGGTTTGAGTAGTGCAGATGTTGACAGAGTGTCCTCATTATCACCCACAAAATCAGGATCAAATGTTATAGAAGCAGTCATATTTGGAAATGGAAATATAAGCAGTGGAAATCAAGTAGGTGTGATAAATTATAAGGATAAGAATAAAATTGAGAGCTCCGAATTACAAAGGACGATGGGGGATGATGCGAATTTTGTGACAACTGGTCATCATACAGTGAATGGTGTATCAGGAAAAGTAGATACCACTGAAACTGAATGTAATCGTAGACCTTTAGACAGTTCTCAGTGTGTGGATAGTTACAGTAGTTCCACTAAAGAGGAGTTTTTTTCTGGCTTTACATCTAATATACAAAAATCTGCACAAAATTTAATGTCTTCGATGTTAACAACAGACTCTTCATTTTCTTCAACACACTATGAATCTTCAGTTATACAATCAACAAAATCAAGAGACGCGACAGACTTTTCTTCGCCTCTGAAGAACTCTTCTGTAACGTCAGTGCCTAGAGATGGTTTTGGAGCTTTCTCTCCTATCAGATGTTCACCAGAATCACCAAAGATTGTTTCAGGTTCCTGTGTGACTTCTTCACCTAGAGACAGTTCCAGTCTGTCATCTCCTTTGAAACATTCTCCAGATTCTCCAAAAACTTCTTCAAAGGATTCCCTCAGTACACCCGCAACAACATCCCCTCAGAAACGATCCCCTGGAACTGTACGAGTTGTGGAATTCACATCTCAGACAAAAAGCTATGTGCGTACAGCATTTGTCTCTGGTAGTTCAGTGGAATCTGCTTCAACATATACAGCTCAGGGTTATTCAGATTCACCTCAACTGAAGGAACTTGTGGATGGATCAAAAAGAACGAGCTATGTAAGAAACATTCACTCTGAGTTGGCTGCATGTGACTCGTCTGACAATGAGGGATCTTCTGTTACATTTGCAGCTAAAACTAATGCCTCAAATTCAGAAACTACTGTGTGGGCAAGCAAGTCTTTCATTCAGCAGAGGGTGGAGCGTTTGTATGGTCCTGGGGCATTGGCTCAAGGTTTCTTTAGAAGAACACGCCATAAACCTTCTGATGAAGTCCAGGTAAAGTTTCTGTCCTGATTGCATAACTTTATAATATATTTTCTTTTAGAGGTTCATTTTTAAGTTATTAATTTTAAGTTTTTTGTTCTTTTGATGTGTGTTTGTGGTGTTGACCATCACTTACCAGAAGATATTTTAAGAGTTCATGGGTTATATTTGCAGTGATGAAGTGAATGCCGTGTTCATATTAGAGCAGATCGAACTTTGGCATGTTTGAGATATTGACTCATAGATAATTGTGTGGGTTTTGTTCATGTCACAGTTAGTGTTTGTCATCTGATCTGAGGACCAGGAAAGAATCTCTTTCATGATATTTAATGCTTTTTCAATGCCCTTTTTGAGATATGCTTATGTTGTGGAAAAGAAGGCATGGACAGTTTGTATTATTTTAATTACTAGAATAATTTAGACAGATTTTACAACTTTTTTTAACTGATAGAAAAGGTCTTAAACACTTGCCAATCAATTACATCTCTAATTTTGATTACTACTAATGCAAAATAATTTTTCTTAGATTTAACTGTTTTTAAAGCTGCATGATTTACATACTTTTAAGAGATGTTTATTATGGTGTTAGGGTCCATGTGAAAGCCATACTCCACATAATGGCTACTGCCATAACAGTAGTCCTACACTGCCAGTGTTGAGGCATTTGCGTCCAGAGTTTCGTGCACAGTTATCTTTGGGGCCTGCAACTAAGAAACTGAATGAACATGATGGTGGAACACCAGCTATTGAAGAAACCAGAGCAGACGTATCTAAACGGTAAGACAGAAATGTAAGGCCATTAGAGCACTATATTGGACCTTAGCAATTCCTTATTCACATTAAGTTTGCATGCCATCATGCTGTGTCAATCGGCAGTTTCTTGCGAGTAAATTGCACATTTTGTCCACTAATTCAGTGTTGGAGGTAGTTTTCGGTTGTCCACTGCAGTATTCATCTACATCCTTTCTGCTGTCTTGAAAACGTTTAAACCATCGAAATATTTGTGCTGGGGACGCAGCCTCATCCCCAAAGCTGTTCATAGTGTTTCATTGGTGCTTTACACAAAACTTGCTGTTGAAACATTCCGTTGTGCAGTTTCTGACTGCTGTAATACACGATGCACAAAGCACGTCCAAATGAAACAGTGTAATCCCAATTGGTTACTGTTAGCAGCACTGCCATGGTCATGCCGCATTGCGTCTATAGCGGCCTGTTACGAAACAGTGGTCGTACTGCATATTGTTATTTTATGTCAGTCTCATTACTTATTTTTTGGCACACTGTGTGTGCTGTTGTGAACAGTCAGTTTATGATAAATTAAACTAGAGCAGAAAGACAAGAATTTATATTTGAAACATAAATTAATGTTTTTAGTGGTCAAAGCAATTTTGAAAATCTAGGAGCATTCAGGATACCAAGGTGCAAAGTATGCATATGAGAACTTTGGATTCCATTACAGATTGCATCTATCAAGTCTTGTCATTTATAATGTTTAAACATTTTATGGCTTGGTGAATACCACTACTCACTTGACTGAAATGTGGAGTAAAGAAACTTACTTCTTAGATATGCTTTCAGTACATTTCTTTTTCTCTTAAAGTTCTCTTTATTTATGTACAAAAGACTGTTGATATTGTCTCTCTCTTAGTATATTTTACCTTGATATTAATCATTTTTAATTGCATTGAAGAAACACATTATGTATTACAAAGAAAACGTTTATAACATTCGTCTGTCAATGTTTTTAAGGAGGTTGAATTCCTATCATTTCAGCCAGCATGAATCAAAATATGTTGCATTTTTAAGATACAGAAAACGATATGAAACATCAGGCCTCTTCATAGACGTACTCGTTACATAATAAGTTCTTATAATTTGCACTCTCATTTACACATCTATGTTTGTTCTGAGATTAATATACAAGTTGCATTGTGTCCCATAAATTAGCAGTGGCATTTTGCGACAGGTAGATAGCTTATTAACAGGCTTGAATATAGCTGTTGCATGTAAGCAACATTCATGCTGTTTCAACTGTGTGTGAATCAGTGTTGTAACATTAGCGTATTGGAAATTTTTTCGGTTCTGTCATACACATAGTCTTAGAAAATGTGTATGAATTATATGAAGAATGAAATAAGGTGATCTCTGTGCGGTGTACCCGTCTCAAAACGACATTGTTACTTACTCTTGTTTTGGGCAGGAAGAGTAATATGAGAAATGTGTGTTGTGCTTTTGGAAATCTGTGTTATGTTACGTTTTTTGTGCTGTGCTAGATCTTCAGCAAGGATTATACCAATTCAGCAACAAGTCTCAGTAGAGAGCCTGACAGAAAGCTTAACAGATCTTCAGCCTGCTGCTCCAGATGTAGTTCTACCCATTGAGCAGACTCAGTCAGTTTCTAATCAACCATCTGAACGATCAGAAGATGGTGGTGACACAGTTTCTCAAATACAGAAGGATGGACATTATTTCTTAAAGGTAAGATCTTGGTTCTGTCAGAGGTTTCATATGTTGAAGTATCTTCTCCTGTTCTGTATACAAATAGTGTTTCCTTTTTCCAAATGTACTGAGATACTGGGAACGACCCGTTCTTCAAGTGCCTGAGTACTGCGGGTCCCAACTTTTTCGTTGGCTCGATCTGTAGACATTCGGTAGGACTCCTTGGACGAGGGATCAGCCCGTTGCAAGGCCTCTACCAAATGTAAATTACACATATTATGAAATCAGTGCAGCAGGACTGAGCACAGCATACATAAATTCTCATTATAATAATTTTAAGTTTTTGTCTGTGTGTGTTGCAAGGATGTATGTGCAGATGATGTAAGAATATTGAAAAATGAGTGAGGGGAACATAAGTTTGGAATGTGTTTGTTCCATTGGACAACCCTTAAGATTAATTCCTTAGGTTGTATAGAGGCAAGATTCAGCCTGATTTATTAAATTCCAGTTTATATGGTTGGCTATAATTATATTTTATTGTCTGATGATGTCATTGATCTTTTTACTTTGAATAGTTTTTAAACTGTCTATTATTCTTGGATTCCTAGTTGCTGAAGCAAGAGATAGATCGACTGAATGGGCTTGTGGAAACTACAGAAGCTGACTTGACAAGTGGAGGGTCACTGCCTGAAGAGGCCTTAGGAAAGTTACGAGCCGCCTCTGGGCAAGCTAAGTTGCTGATACGACAGAAGCTGCAGCAGTTTGAAGGGCTGTGCCACAAGAACATTGTGAGTTTCTGTTTCTAGCAGCACTGACAGACCTGTGTATCTGGAGCACCTATGTCCTGTGATCCTTGCCAGTTGTTATGGGAACAGACTATATTTACACATTCATTCAATAACAAAGCATCATGA